GATTTACAAGATGAAGAAGAATCATCTTTGTAAAAGTAAAGATCAAAAGAATATCATTGGTGACTGGTGAGGGCTTCTTCAAAAGAAACTTACAAAAGAGCCTTCACTGAGTGGCCCAAGAAAAGAAATATTAATACTATTTATTTAAAAGTATAACCTGCAAAGCCCATAATAAATGCATCTACTAGAGAGAAGCCAGATTTCAAATAATGGTAGTTAAGCAGTCTCTTTCATTTCATTGTCATTTTATGGAAATCTATCTCCCTAACCTACAAACACCAACTAAAGTTACATANTATATTAATACTATTTATTTAAAAGTATAACCTGCAAAGCCCATAATAAATGCATCTACTAGAGAGAAACCAGATTTCAAATAATGGTAGTTAAGCAATCTCTTTCATTTCTTTGTCATTTTATGGAAATCTATCTCCCTAACCTACAAACACCAACTAAAGTTACATAGAACGTCACGAGTTTAAGTCTAAACTATGTATATCAAACTTTTTATCATGATGGAGGAGACGGACACGACATACAATCCCTAAGCTAAATCACACAATGGGGGGAGGTGGAGTCTCCCATATATCAAACACATTTTCTTCACTATGAAGAGCAAAGAGCCGGTCACCTCCGATAGAGAAATCGCAGATTGAACCACCATAACTCTGTCCAAGCCTCGATGTCAATACCCAATCCGGACCACAGAACACTGAAATACTATCATTCATAGATGAAAACAGTTGCCCTTCGTGCAATGCCAATTTAGGGTAACATGGTTCATCGGGCATTTTCCCCTTCATCCACCGGCTCCTCGAGCTCCATCGTACACTCCGGCCAATGCTCCTCAAATCCATAAACCCCAAATCCTCATACTCATTCACTACACACACACAACTAGTTTCCTCCATTGCTATAGCGTCCCTAACCCGCCTCTCATCAGTAATTGGAGCCCCAATATCAGACCATGACCAAACCATGGACTTATCTCTAAAATCCAACAAACTAATGTAACAGTTGTCTTTCCTTGGAAACAAAGTTGCAACCAACAAACAGTTGGTACCATGTAACCATTGAAGCTTGTCAGCATCACCAAGGGACCAACCAGGTGGCTCATAGAAAAAATCAATCTGTTTCCCAGTAATTTGATCCCAAACACCAATTCCATACTCATTGCTTCTACCTTTGCAGCTAGAAAACAACTTATAATCTGCACTAAAACTTAAAGCACCAGCAGTGTAACTCTTGACCTGATTTTCATGTGTGACATGAAATTTGTACCTTAGGTCCCCTGTTGATGCACTGAACAACCCCATGCCTCCTTCGCCCCGGCCCAATCGCTCACAAGCACTGATCACAATCCTCTCTGAGTCAATCCAACAAGCATCATTCACCCTTTGGTAATCAAGGTTTATTGGAGGGTGCTCTTCTAGCATCCAATCATAAACATGTACCATACTACCATGTGCCACACAGCATCCACCATCCGGTCCTGCCCGAATGGCCGTGCCATCACCTGGGGCACAGCCCGTTATGGACCGGGCTAGTCGGAGCCTGTTGCCATCGAATGGGCCCCACTTGGCTGACCTGACATGGTCAAGAAGGCCATAAAACAGGGCTTCTCTGTAAAGGAGTTTTTCGGGTAAATTGGAGGGAATACAGAGCTCCCCTGTTCTTAGGAGGTCAAGAAGAACTGCGAAGCAATCCGGGTTGCGATCCATGAAATGTTCTGTGGTGTGATCGTATTGGAGGTTCCAGTTACCATCGAACATTGCTCCGAAGAGTGAATTTCGGCCGGCAATGGCTAAAGTTGTCGCTGTTGTTTCAAAGATCTTGCCTCCAACATTGAATCTGATCCTGTCCTTTTGAATTCCCATGAGACAATTTCTACGAAAGTGGACAGGCCCAGATGATGGTTTAAGGCAAAAAAAAAGAAGAGGAAATTCGAATTCAAATTCAATAACTTGTGACAAAACCTCAAGTTTGCAGAGGAAACGGAGGATTTTCAGGAGAAAATGATTAGAAATTCAAGAACGAGAGAAATTTATGGGATTGTTTAAGAAAAGTCAAAACAATATATTTCAAAATATTTGGATTCAAAAAAAACCCAAATAAGGAAAGATCGATAGAAAAAGATCACAAAAGATTCGAATAACCAGCGAGAGGAATTGGATGGTAAGAGAACATGGGCAATACTAGATTTTTTGACAAACAGGTCAAAATTCTGATATTTCCTTGAAGCAGACNTTTGGGATTCAAAAAAAACCCAAATAAGGAAAGATCGATACAAAAAGATCACAAAAGATTCGAATAACCAGCGAGAGGAATTGGATGGTAAGAGAACATGAGCAATACTAGATTTTTTGACAAACAGGTCAAAATTCTGATATTTCCTTGAAGCAGACAAACCATAACTGGATTTTAAAGGGAAAAAAACACAGGAAATGGATCAGATGCAAGGATATGATCAAAACTTCACAAACTCTGATAGGTATAAAGATGATTGAAAATCAGAAGTGGGTGCTAAATTTTGTGGGATTTGGTGGAGAAGAATATGAGAAANAAAAAAAACAGAGGAAATGGATCAGATGCAAGGATATGATCAAAACTTCACAAACTCTGATAGGTATAAAGATGATAGAAAATCAGAAGTGGGTGCTAAATTTTGTGGGATTTGGTGGAGAAGAATATGAGAAATGGAGAGGATTGACTCTGTTTCGAATTTCACCCTCTCTCTCCTTCTTTGCTTGTTCTATGTTTCTCAGATATGACCAAACTTTGAGGAACTATGGCAAATATAGAAGAGGAGATCAAATGAGAAATGGGTTTTTAGTTTCGTAGGATTTGGTAGAAAGGAACAGAGAAATTGAAGCGGTTGGGTTTCAAGAAAATTGACCTTCTTTTCACTCTCTCTCCTCCTTTGCTTATTCTCTGTCCGTGTCCTCTCTCTCTCCCTCTCTTTTCTCATGTTAGTTCTTCCCTTTGCTTGTTTTGGGTTGGTCGTTTGACAGTGGGTTTTTNGTGTCTGGGTCCTCTCTCTCTCCCTCTCTTTTCTCATGTTAGTTCTTCCCTTTGCTTGTTTTGGGTTGGTCGTTTGACAGTGGGTTTTTAAGCTTTTTGCAGTGTAGCCTATCATCAATGGTATGTGTGGAGCCCACTTCCTGATGTTCTTTCCCTTTAATTTGGGCCCTTTGATGGATATAAAGTTGACACCAACACGTATCTCTTAGGCAACAATGTCCCTCGACTAATATCTTTTTCTAGGTGGTCATTAAGGCTATCCCATGAAGTCAGCTCTCTCACACTGCACAGAGAGCGTGTCCCATGGGGTGGTGTTTATGTCTCTCTCTCTCAGGAAATTATTCTCTCTTGATCAATTTTTTTTTGTTCAATTGTTGGGGTATTTAAATCAATTTATACACTTCTTCGCTAATTTTTTTTTCAGTTCGATCAAAAACAGATCATTCACGTCGAAATCAGGAAATAGATGAAAAAATTATTTATAGTCCAACTCTAAAAAATTATCAAGATTTAAACTCATGACATTTAAATTTATAATTCATCTATACTATCATTTGAATTTTTCTCCGGTCTGGATCAATGTCAATCAAAATTGTGACATATGGTCTCTCTCTCCCTGGAAATTATTTTCTCTTGATCAACAGGATTGACACATATTGGGAGGATTAGACAAAACGACGAGGATTGCAACATAGTGGGAGGATTAGACGTGTGTTTTCAGTAAGAGTGCAATTTGGGTTGTGCGGATTAGACGTGTGTTTTCAATATTTGATCTCAATTCAAATCCTTTTAATCTAATTATT